CACTTGGGACACTCGGTGGGAACGGCACAGCCCTCTCTCCCGGCTCTGCTGAGGGACTGGGGTCCCCGCGTGCAGCAGAGCTGGGCCACGCGCCTGTCACTCCCCAGCCCCTGCCCTCACCCTGCTCTCCACTGGCTCAGCTCTCTGGGTCAGCGCTGGTGGATGCCAAGGTCCCTGCTCTGCCCTCAGGAGTGGCCGGAGGACCGTGGATCCCTGGTGTCAGGGTGGGAGGGCAGCTGAGGCCTCAGCCAAGACGGCCCCTCTCACCGAGAGGCCACAGCCCTCTCAGGGCGAGCAGGAGCGCTCACCCTCCATGCTAGCTTGTTTCACTTAACACGCTGACCTCTGCTTCCCTCGAGGACCCATCCAATGGCAGGGTTTCTTCTCTTGGGGGAGGGGTGTTGAAACAGGGTCTGGCCTCCGACTCATGGTGATCTTCCTGCCTCAGCCTCCTGCACCTAGAATGATACTCTTGATCCGCTCGTCCCAAGGTCCCCCACAGTGGTTCCTCTCTTGGCTGCTGAGCATGTTGCTGAGGGGACACGAGAGTGCAGCTGTGCCTTCTGCACCCCGACTTCCTCTCCTGTTGCTGGGCACGCAATGAGCCAGCCACCAGGGCTTCGGCACCATCACACGTCCGCCCCCTGGACTCGAGGCCCCCGCAGGTGACGGCCAACACGCGGTGTCGGAGGGAAGGCACGCAGCCCGAGCCGAAGCCTCTCAGCAGTGCCTTCTCCACTCTGGCCTCCCCGCCTGCCATGCTGGCGGGGGCCCTCGGCACAGGGGCCAGAAATGACCGGCCGGGGCGGGTGTGTGCGCAGACAGAGCACAGGAGCGTGTGCGGCTCCTGCACCCCAGCCCCCCCTGCACGGCAGTGGTGCGCGTGGGCTGGGACGGGCGTGGGGTGCGCTGCCCCCTTGGACCCAGACCCTAGACGTCCTGGGCCGCAGAGGTGCCTCTCAGGGTCACCACGGGGACGTCACAGGCTGAGCACCATCTGCAGCAGATCACAGTGCAAATGCACGCTGAGCTCTGTCCAAAATGCACAGGGCGGCTGTGCTTCAGACTCTGGAGGTGACAGGTGGGGCAGTGGCCGGGGCACCTGGTGTGCGCGGGACATCGCCTCTGTTCCTGCATCCTGTGCTCACAGCCGGGGGCTGGATCCAGGGTCTTTCTGGGCTGCATTTCACGGCAGTCACCCACAAGGCCAGGCACGGGATGCTCCTCCTGTGGAGTCACATGGTGCTCAGACATAGGAGGGTTCCGGGGCAGTTTGGATTTTTGGATTGCAATGCTCAGTGTGTAAGTCAGATATGTGCTCAGCTTCTCAGCATGGTTTCTGGACTGGAACCAATGCTGTTGTAGGCACTGTGAACCTTCTAGCTCTGAGAGCCAGCATCTCGCAGGTCCTGCACGAGGGGAGGCCTGGGTGGCAGGAAGCACGCAGAAGGTTCTGGGCAGGGTGAGGGAGCTAAGAACAGAAGCAAAGCCTGAAGTGCCCCCAACCAGCTAGGGGGCTGAGAGCTCCTTCCATGGCACCTGGCCACACAACACGTGCTGACAGGTACACGGGAAGCCTCCTGCGTCCACACGAGTGAGCACACAGGAGCCAGGGTCAGTCTCGGAACACACACTGAGCACGATGATCTCACATGCACAAGGGGGCAAGGAGCAGCTAAGTAATGCTTTTCAGGCAGGCAGGCAGGTTTGACCCAGGTACCAGGGAGAACAGGCCAGGCCAGGGAGGTGGGGACAGAAGATACTCCCATGGTCCCAAAGCCTCCTGTGCTCACATCCGAGACCAACCCACTGAGACAGTCCTGGCTGAGCGTGCTGCTAGGAGGCAGGGCAGGAGGAGATGGATCGTGAGACCTTTGAGGGCAAACCTGGCTTTCTCCCTCTCTGACAGCTCCCACGAAGAGAGTGCTGTCTCTTGCCACATCCCTCTACCACCATGCTCTGTTGCAGCCAGCCGACCATGGATTGAACCCTCGGGAGCCGTGAGCCACGTTTCACCCCCACTCCCTGCACACTGTGAGCGTCAGGTATTTTGTCCTAGTGACACAAAGCTGACAGTACAATGACCAAATGTGCTTTCTTAGATAGTTCCCCAGCCAGCGGAGAGCCCAGAAGTACTTCCAGAGCCCCTGTCAGCTGCCAGGCAGGCGCGTGTGCGGCCGGTGTGGCTGAGCACGCAGCGTTTTCCACAGGCGCTGCCATCCTGGCGGGCCTTGGCTTTGCTCTCCCACTGTGACGCAAAGTCTGTGCTGCCCCTGCAGTGACTCACTGACTGGACCCAGGACATGGACTTGCTTTTTCTTTTTTGTGTCTCTCGCTTACTGTTTGTGACACTGTTGTGATGGATTAATTAGTGGTCAACGTGAGTGGGAACGTCCAGCGGACTGAGTCAGCCTGGTTCTGCGTGTGAAGAGCCACCTGAGGATTGTTGCTGGAGTGGAGTAAAAACGGGAGGGGAAGACAGCCTGCTGCTGATTTTCCTGAAGAAGCTGCTTTTTGGCAGTTTTTCTTCAAAGGAGCTTTGGCTGCTGTCTTCCTTCGGGAGAGCTTCAATCCTCATCTTTATCTTGGGCACTGTCTCCTGGCTCCAGTGCAGATCGCGAGGCCTTCTCATACAGATCCTTCACCCGGCCAGCACAGACTTTCTGGCTTCCACCACTGGCCCATGGGCCTTTCTGATGCAGATCCTTGATACTTGCAGGGACACTGCCATGGGCTCCAAGCCCTTGGCTGGATGTGGACAGACGTTTGCGCTCTTCTCCCTCTGACTCCAGTCAGCACTGACTAATACAAGTGTTGTGCATGACAGGGTGGAGGGCAATGCAAAGTTCAAGACAGGGCGGCAGCTTCCTGTGAACACAGCCCCTCTCCTGCCTGTGGCCTGTGGCAGGGGCACCACCCTCTGGGCCTGACCCTCGCCAGGGTGGGACTGGAGAAATGAAGACGAGGGAGCCTCCCACTGACAGAAGTGCCTGCTCTGGGCCCAGCCAGTGGCCCCTCTGTAGTCTCGTCTCCAGACCGCAGTGACGATGTGGAGTCTACACTGTCCCTAAGCCGAGTGCAGTTGTGTTCTGAGGAGGTAGACGCGGTGGCAAGCCAGGGCTCTGCCTGACCCACAGGCGTGGCTTCCCTGCACCTCCCTGCCTCTTCTCAGGCCAGCCACGTGATGGGACGTGATGTGACATGGCAGTGCTGGCCACAGCCCACGGGGGTCGCAGGCGCCCACATGGCCCCTCCATCTCCCCTGAACCCCAACTGCAACTGAAGTCACCAGGATACATCTCAAGGACTGGCGTTAACAGCATTTGTGACCAAAACCACAGCTGGATGGAGGAGGATTTCTTGCATTTTTGTTTCCCCACAAATTTAACTCTTTCTTTCTTTGGCCTAAGCTTCGGCTCTACAGCTATGAATTCTCTTCCAAACATGAATCATGTGTCTCCCTGTGTGAAATCGGGCCAGCCCTCCTTACTGATGCAGCCCTCTCCTGCCATGGGGCCTGACAGCCTAAGGCCCCCATCCCAGCACTCGGAGACCCCTTAGGCCCTGGATGCTGCATGGTCACCATGGCAACCCCCCTCAGCTTTCTGTGCTCCTCCTGACATCTCTCCACCCCATCCCTAGCTTTCTCCTTTTTTTGCAGTACTGGGGTTAAACCCAGGGCCTCTGCACTTAGCTATACCCCCAAGCCCTTTCTTTCTTATTCTGAGGCAAGGTCTTGCTGAGCTGCCAAGCTGCCCAGGCTGGGCTCACACTTGTAACCCTCCCGCCTCAGCCTCCCAGAGTGCTGGGATCACAGGCGTGCGCCACGCCACCTGTCCCACGCTGGCTGTGGGGAAGCAAAGTCTAGGTATAGGCTGGTGGAGACTGGCATTTCGGGATTAGGAAGGCCCCTCTCCAGCCACATAGCCGGCATTCGAATGATCACGTAAGGTTCTCACCTTCTCATCGAAAACCATAACTCCTTGAGCCTAAGCCAAATGACGGGACATGGGCACCACCAGCACAGGACCCTGCCCAGGACCCTGCAGAGCTCCTCAGACCCGTGCGAGTGCTCGTGAGTGTGACTGGGACCTGCAGCATGTGCTGCTTAAGCCACAAGCACGCGTCATGCTTGAAAACGACCATCAGATCGGGAGGAAAACGTGGCAAGCGGCACGTGGAAAACATCCGTAACAAAGACGAGTGCTCTTCCCCAGACGAAAGAGCTGAGCCCAGAGAAACTGGTGTCCACGTGCACGCGTAACAGGAGCACCGTGTTGGTTTCTACACACAGGCCACATGGGCCGACTTCCATCCCTGTCCCTGCTGGATGTGGGCAGGGCCTCCCGGCAGGGTCTGAGGGACACCTGGACACAGAGGCCACGTGCAGGGCTGGGGCTGAGCACGGGTGGGCGTGTCGTCAGGGACGGGCCACTTGCCAGACACGGGGGTCACTCTCCTTCTTAAGGTGACAACAGCACTGTGGTTCTCCTACAGTGTTATCTTTTGAAGATATATACGGAAATACCTGCAAACAATGATACAATGACCAAGTACTGCTTAAAAACTACGAGAAGGAGAAAAAGCCCTTACGTTGTCAGCAAGACTACAGGAAGACAAGTTACAAACAGCCACGCTGGGGCAGGGGACTTAGCTCAGTGGTTCTGCTGCCTGCCCTGCAAATGCAAGAAAAAAACCAAAAAACAAAAAAAACAACCACGCTGAACATGGTTCTGAGGAAGCCAGTGCACACTCGAGTGTATGCGCGTGTGCCCGGAGCACACACACGCAAAGCATGCACAGAGCACACGGGCACATGTGACACACGCACATGCAGCCCACGTACACTATGCAGCCCACACACAGGCACACACGTCCTGCCTGCTGTGCGGGTCTCATGTCTGGAGTGCAGGCTCTGCGTGGGCAGCTTTGTGTCCTTCCGGGGTTGGGCACTGCGCCCAGCACCACCCCCACCCCGTGGGAGGCGGCCCAGGCCTTACCTGCATCAGTTCCTGGGTGTCCTCCTCGGAAACGGGCGGCTGGGCCCTCTGCAGCTGCGGCTGCCCGCCCTCCTGGCCTCCTTCAGGCAGCTCTCGGTGCGCAGCACAGCCCATGAGCCCGGATGCTGGAATGAAGAGCTGAGGTCAGCAGGGATGGCTTCCGGAGGGCATAAACCGCACACACGTGTTCGGAGCCTCACGAGGCAGTCAAGCCTGCTGAGGTGCTGGCTCAGCTGAGTGTGTGTGTCAGGGGCTCTGTCCCCAGCTTCCTGGAGCTGAGCATTCCACCCCAGACCCACCTGGTCCCACACCCATCGAGTGTGCAGCTTTCTAAGGAACGGCCCTTTATCTAGCAGTGGTCAGTTCTGTGCGTGCGAGAAAAGTAAAGATACGGCAATAAAACCCCAGAGCCGTTGAACTCTGGTGAAAGGTCCATAAAATACATGACCAAGAAACTGCAGGGTTGGCTGAGCTATTCCACAGAGCGCTGTGGTTCAGAGAGCTCAGGAAATGGCAGCCCAGGGCCAGCTCCACAGCGTGTGCTCCCGCCCACCCACCTGCACACCATGGGGGTGAGCTGCAGCCGCCCCGGACAGGCATGCTTGGCAGGGCTGGGCATCTCCAAGGCTCAGGGCTGCCGTGAGCTCTGGGCTTCTCTGAGCATCTACACCCTGGGTGACTGCAGCCAGGGCAGGGTAGGGGCTGCTCAGGGTGCCAACCACACAGTGGAGTGTGGCTCCTGGTGGCCAGGACAGGGTGCCACCTGTCCAGTACCTAGAGAGCAGTTCCAACTGTGCCCACACCCACGGCCCAGGTGAGGGCTGCACTGCAGCTTTGACCCTGGCTCTTTTCTGTCATGTAGGCTCTGTAAATGGGGCACAGCAGCCAGTGCACTGGTCAGGCAGTGGGGAAAAGGAAGGCGCTCTGAGCCTCCAGGGCCTTTCTCCCGGGCCACAGGACACGATGCAGGGCCTGCAGGGCCTGCTAGACGTGCCAGGAAGGCGAGCACACCTCCCGGGGAGGGTGGGGAGCGAGCGCTCTCGCTGGGCCTGAGCAGAAGCCGAGCGGGGCGCCCCAGACACGCCAGCTCCAGGCTGCACGGTCTTGCCCAGGAAAGAGCCCAGGCACACACCACCCGCTCCGGGCTCATCTCCTGCAGCTAACCTTCAAAGGTCACTTCTCGTTCCTGTCCCAAAGGCCTGCAGGAGGGGTGAGGACTGCAGGAGAGGGGCCCGCCCACGGCAGGGAGGGCCTTCGGTGCCACGCCCACCCTGTGCCCCTTGGCTTCGGAGGCTGCCCTCACAGGACACGGCCTTGGGACACATCTCTGGGACCGTTGCTCTTCTGCCCTATTTTTTCAAAACACCTGGCTGCAGCCAGCCAGGCTGACTTCTGGCCTTGTGTCCTGGCACCGATGCTGCAGTGGTCCCTGCATCGCCCCTCATGGAGCTCAGTGGGCCCTGGCCAGGCACGAAGGGTGCAGCCTGCAGGGGTCACGAGGAGCACAGTGGGATGCTGCCGTCTGCACCCAGCCAGCCTGGCCCACTGTCCTGCTCTGGCAAACAGCGGCCCCACGTGGCCCATGGCTCCCAGCTGGGCACACATCCTCAGTGGTCCTTGGGGCCTCTTGCGGAAACCCCCGGCTCAGCTCCTGTGTAGGCTCTGGGGAATGGTGGGAGCTGCAGGATAGGAACAACTGCTGCCTGTGCACACCTGCAGCTGGGGCTCTGCACATAGCCAGAGCTGAGGCAGGACTCTCCTGGATGCTACTCATCACCATGGAGGCCTGGGCTGGGACACTTTCCACAGGTGCAGTGTGGCCAGGCCACAGGATGCCACGGACCCCACCCCCAGCTGGCTGCTGACTTGGTCACCGGGTGTTTGGAGACTTCTAGGGAGAAGGACCATGGTTCTGTTTCTTCCTCATGAAGAGTCCCATTAAATAAAACAGGAACAAAGGCTCCTGTGGAAAGGGGATGAGAGATACCTTACCTTCCAGGAAGGGGACCAGGCAGTGTGCTGAGGAAGTGCCCCGGCAAGGGGCGTGTGTGTTACCAGGGAGGGCCGCCCTGCATGGAGAAGCAGTGCCAGCCGCAGGGAAGCCCGCCACATACACGGCGCGCCAGGCCTCGCAGAAGCGTCAGTGTGGACAGAGGCCTCCACACAGGCACACGCTGCGGAGCCGGGAAGCAGAGACAACACGGAAATGCACGTTTGTCTACGGGGGAAGGCAGCAGGAGGAGACTGGGCAGGCCACAGCGGTCTTCGGTGCATTCCCAGCAGGAGAGGCATGCATGGCCGAGCCAAGCCCCGAGGACGCTGGGGCTCAGGGGGTGCAGGCCTCCCAGCCAGGCAGGCACCCCATCACACACAGCACAGCTCCTGCAACGCGCCCCGGATGGTGCTCAGGCAGCACCGAACATCCGGAGCCCGCAGATGAGAACCTCAGAACATCCTGAGCACATGCTCGAGTGAGAAACCCCGCGCAGGCCCTGGGCCCCACACGTCTCAGCACTGCTGTGAACAGTCACTCTGAGGACGCGTGCAGAGGCGCGCACCGGGAACAGGCCTGTGCCAGCCCCGGCCTGTCTCCAGGACATCCCGCGTCCACACACACTGCAGCTTCTGGAGTCCCCACCAGGGCTCACACTCGCTCGGGGCTCTGGGGCTCTGAGCGAAACCCGTCCGTCTGCAGATCTCTCCTGTGAGCCTGAACCGCCCGCCCTCAGCTCAGCCCGCGGGGCCGGCAGAGACCCAGCAGCTGCAGCGGCCGCTAACGGCTCCGCCCAGCGCAGCTCCCCAGGCCTCCCTCCCACCGCCTCCTCCCGCCAACCCTCCCCGGAGGCCTGCGCGTGGCGACACTGCCCCCGTGTGGCCGCGGGGGATCTCCAGACAGCACAGAGGCCCAGCAGCACAGTGGGAGCGCTGGAGGCCGGGGGAGGCCGGGGGAGGCCGCACGACAGCCCTGCACCAGGCTGTGGCCATGAACGTGTCCTCCCCGGTACCTAGGACCCGAAGGCCGCCCACGCCGCTTTCTGCACATGCCATGCAAGGGCTGGGCCCCAAGTCCATGGGCTCCAGGCGCACCCACTCCTTGGAAATGAGGACAGCAGGCAACCGTGCTGGCTCATGCCTCTACCCCAGCACTCCGCAACCAGAGGCAGGAAGATTACAGGGTAGAGGCAGCCTGCATACAGTGACTGGGCGAGGGCCGGAAACTTAGCTCAGTGTGAAGGCCTTGGGTTCAAGACCAAGAGCCAAATGCAGAAAAACAGAGGACAGCTCCTGTCACTGAGCAGAGCCTCACTCAAGCCAGGGTGTCCACCAGGAGGCAAGGAAAGCAGGGAGTCACGCATCATCCCCAGGTGCTACGCCACGTGAACACGGGGATGGGGGCCGCTCCTGCCCCTTGGAAGGGAGGAGCAGGGCACGGACTCTGCGTGCTGCACAAGACAGGACAGGACAGGACAGGATGACAACACGCCACTGAGGACAAGGCCCCAGAGGGCCTGCCAGAGAGAGGGTCTGCAATGCTGGGGACCCTGGCCAGATACGGGGTCCTGGCACGCTGAGGGGTCTGCAAAGGGATGGCACCCGGGACACAGCACAGGATCTGGGACAAGAGCCACCTCCCACAGAGGGACCCATCCCACAGGGGACGGGCCACGGTGGGGCCCGATCGTCAGGCGGCTCTAGACAGGGCCACACAGACTCCTCCCTGGGGCCACACACCTGTCCCTCCTCAGTCCTCACTCCCCTGGGACAGTCGCCTCCTGCATGCGTGTGACAGCCCGTGCCCTGTCTGGCGTCCCTCCCGGGCCAGCGATACCTCCTGCCTGGCCTTGGCCTTGCTTTGCCCTCCACGCTGGCCCACACGGCCCCCTTGACTGGTCTGGCCGATCCTTTCTCGCGGTGAATGCTGCGCGCTACTGGGGGCCGCATCATCTCCTTCGGCCCATCTGTCTTCACCTCTTCCTGGACCCCTCCTCATACCCTAATCCAGGTGCTGTGGGCCACGCACACCCTGTGGTAGCCAGTGTCAGGCCCTGTTACCCGTAATGCTCCACACTGGCCCCACATGGTCATGCCCCACTCCCTGCTTCCGCACTCGCAAAGCCACGGAGCCCGACACATGGCACACTGGCTGGAAAGGTGTAGTCACTGCCAGGGCAGCTGAGCTGGGCAGGGCAGGGCAGGGCAGGGCAGGGCAGGGCAGGGGACGCAGCAGTGTTGCTGGGAGGGGGCAGCCTCAGCAAGTGAGGGTGCACTGGGCAGGCAGGCCTTGGCATGTCCTTCTACTTAGGGAGTCACAGAAGGTCTATGCTGTGTGACCTGGACGTGTGTGAGCGTGTGTGCAGGGCTCAGTTCTGGCCACTTGTCCCCGGGGTAATGACAAAGAAGGTTATGGGGCCTGAGAGGAGCCTGGTGGGGTCCTCAGGTCATGGCGAACGTCTTCCAGGTGACTCATGCTGTTCCGAGGGCCACCGAGGAGCAGGCCAGGCCCCCGGTGTACTCTTCCTGGGGCCACACAGACAGGGCTGCCCAGTCTTCAGCCTTGCACTTCCAAGACAGCCAGCTAGAGACCTCTCTCCTTCCCTCACCCCCAGCTTCTAGAACTGTTGTATTTAGCAGCACAACCCAGACCAGTAAGATCCTCTCTGACTGGCTTGGTGTTTGGCCACAATAATGAGACACCCAAGGCAATGAATTTAGAAGGAGCCAAGGTTTAGTGTTCCTCCAGCCCTGCAGGATCCCAGCTCTAGACCAGGTGGCCAACTGCTTGGGCCTGTGGCTGAGGCAATGCATGGTGGCAGGGACACGTGAAGGGGCCAAGCCTCACCTTATCATGAGCCAGGAAGCAAAAGGAGGTGGAGGACAGGGTTCCACGCCCCTCAGGGCAGGCCATGCCCCCAGAGACCTAAGGACCTCCCATGGCCCTCTCCTTAAGGTCCCCCGGCCTCCATGCTGGGACCAAGCCTGCAGCGCATGGGCCTCTGGGGACACTCAGCACCCAAACATGCAAAGATCCAACCCAATCCACACATCTGTCCAGCACAGTACGCAGAAGGGGCGGCTGCCTGTGTGCTGTGCCAAAAGTCTCTGCTCCAAAGTCTGCACACGAGGACCAGCAGCTCACCTTCGGGCCACACAGGCCAGCTCTGTCCCGCTGAGGAAGTGGCTCCCGAGCTCCCGAGCACTGCAGCATCTCCCAGCAGCTGGACCTTCTTGCTGAACTGCACTTCTAAAATGCGGATGACTTCCGGCATCTTGGCAGATATCATGCGGTAAGCCACGTCGGGCTTCCCAATGAACCGCTGCCGAATGCTCACTTCATAGGGCGAGTGGACCTTAATGTCATCCACGTCTTCCCTCTGGAACCTGTGCAGGAGCACAGAGCTGGAGTTGTGGATTTCCAGCGCAGACACCAGGACAGTGAGCCTTCCTGGCTGGGCGTGAGACTCTGTTCTTTGAGAAATCACCGCGGGGACCTGGACCATGACCCCTTCCTTTCTACACAGCTCACCACCAGCAACCGAGGTAGCTTCCCTGGGCTTCACTTCTGCTGCTCTCTTCCAAAAGTTGGAGCGAAAGGGCCACCAGGATGGGGACTCCAGTTCTGTCAGCAATCTGGAAGAGCAAAGGAAAAACCTGAGCCAGCTGGTTAAAAAGCGATGCTTTTGGGCTTTGGAAGACTGCATTAGCTTTTCCAAAGCATTACCATCTTACAGCCAACATTCCCTGAAGTGCTCACCAGCGAACAGAGCAGGGCTGTCACCCACACGTCTGAGGATTAGAACCAAAGGCTTGGGGCGGGGCAGACACCACCTGGAGGAACCCAGCTAATGGAGGGAGGGCCAGGCAAGCACGCATGCCTGGCAGCAGTGTCACACCAGTCAATCTCAGGGTCTGGGCAGGTCCTAGGTCCACGCTGTCTAGAGGGGTGGGAGGCGCCTGTGGCCCTCACCCTCAAAGTGTAGCCAGTGCAACTGAGAAACCACATTCTTAATAATTCAATTTCAGCATGGTGAGTGGCTACCATGTTGGACAGCACAACTCCAAAGGACCCAGTAACACCACCACGAGAGATATCTAATGAGCCCATAGAAGAGGGACAAATGGAGGCAGGACAGAAAGCCAAGGTCAAATGGAACAAACAGGGAGTGAGCAGCCGAAGGCAGAATGGCACTGACTCGTGTTTAGCAGCCATGCTTTCCTAGTCATGCCCAGGATATGGACTAGATATTCCAGCTAAAAGGCAGACTGTCAGCCTGGAGAGAGAAACAACATCCAGCTGTAGCTTGTTTATAGACATTCTATAAAATATGAAAACACAGACACAAGGAGAGCAAGAGAGTCACATGGATATGCTATACAGCATGCTAACAGCAAATGAGTACTACCAGGGGTGCAGTGCACGGTCCTCAGAGAATTATCCAACAGAAAGGGTTAACGATACGAAACGGGCAAGCACTTCATAACAGAACTTTAAAATTCACCAAGCAAAAACCTGACAAAACTAAATGGAGAAAGATATGGTCATAGCTATTGATTTGAACACATTTCTCTCAATGATTAATAAAATAACAAGACTGTCTAACTAGCTCCCCTGCTGGCAGGTCCAGAAACACCACCCAACAGCTGCAGGGAGTGTGTGTCAACTTAAGGAAACCATCAGCCAAGGAGGCCAGTAACAGAACCAACAGGGCACTGCCTGCCACAAAGAAATGGGAAAAGAAATCAGGAGCTAAAGGGCCCTCAAATCTCTGGAAATTAATCACATACTTAAGTAATACATGGATCCAAAAAGAACAAAAAGGAATTTAGAAAAAATTGAAAGTAAATGAAAATACAATATATAAAAATGGCAAGAAAATAGAGCAGACATCAGAGAGAAAATTATAGGTTTCAGTGTGTTCATATGAAAACTTCACAGAAAGGTTTAAAATCAGTGATCTAAGCTGGGGCTGGGGACTCAGCTCACTGGGAGAGTACTTGCTTTGTGTAGCATGTGCCAGGCCCTGGTTCCATCCCAGCACCACAAACACACACACACACACACACACACACGCACGCGCACGCGCGCGCACACACATGTGCCTATCCTAGAGCAAATTAGCCTCAAGTAAGTAGAAACGAAACACAGAAGCCAACAGAACTAAAAACAAAAAAAATAAAGCATTACCAAAGCCAAAAAATTTTTTTGAAGTGATTTTTAAAAATTAAACTACAACAGGCGCTGGGGATTTAGCTCAGTGGTTCTGGCGCCTGCCTTGTAAACGCAAGGTCCCGAGTTCAATCCCCAGTATCCAAAAAAAAAAAAAATTAAACTACAACTAACAAGAACAATCAAGGGAAAAAAGAGAAAATGCAAATTACCAACACTGGGATGAGAAAGGACACATTACCATAGAACCTGAAATGCTCACAGAGATAGTTTCCACAGCAATAAACTCACCAACTTACACGAAACAGAAAAAACACTTGAAAAACCCAAGGCAAGAAAAAAGTCAAGAACAAGAAAAACACTGAACTTGTAACTAAAGACCTCGCCAGAGAGAAGACTGTGGTCCAGGTTTTCTGGATCCACTGGTGAATTACATTCACAGCGACGGTGCTCAAACCCTGTCACAGGCCAACACAAGAGCGGAAGCTCGGTTCCACTTGCGTCACCAGACCACGAGACCCGCACGCCACACCGAAGGGCAGTGTAAGAAGACAGGGCAGGCAACAGCTCTCAGGCCGTGTGCGGGCAAGCACCTCAGGAAAGCATCAGCAGAAGCAATGAGCCATGAGTAATGGTGTCTGCCGGGGCCAGGGAGCCATGGGGGTTAATACCTGGAAACCCATCTCCTTAGAGAGATAGAAGGGTGACTGCATGACCACAACTGGTGGAGAAAAGAACCTGGGCAGAGGCATCCCTGACCAGGCGAAAGCTTCCAGCAAGCTGGAGGGGAGGAACACCGTCCACTGTCATGAAGAACAGAAGGTAAAAGCTGGGCAGACTGCGGTATGTGGGGGCATATGCCCATCATTCCAGTGCTCTGGGTAGCTGAGGCAGGAGAATCACAAGTTTGAGAGTCTGGCCTAGGCAAAGCAGACACTTAGCAAAACGCTGTCTCAAAATAAAAAATGGCCTGTAGATAGCTCAGTGAGTTCAATCCCCAATAGCACAAAACAAAACCCAACGAAAACAAACAACAAAACAACCAGGCAGATTCTAAACTATTCAAGCTTTGAACACTTTCCTCAAGTATGGCATTATGAAATATATTTGGCTGTATGTCTCTCAAACCCTGGGCTCTCTGGGGTTCACAGGTCTTTGTGTGCTGATGAGCCGGCCACTGGCCAGCAGCCCTGGGCGGCTTCAGCTCGGGGCTGACACTGGAAGACCAAGGCAGGATCCCAGGGTCGGGACCAAGGCAGGATCCCAGGGTCGGGCCTCCCCAAGGGCAGAGGGGCTGAGGTCCAGCTGCTCTCCAGGGCCCAGTAGTCAGTCCCACCCCAAGGCCAGGGCTCAGAGGGCTTCCTGGGATCTGGGCATGGGGAGGGCGGGCCCAGGGAGGACCGGAAGCCCAGGCTCCCCGCACCTGGCCTGTGCTCTCCTCCTCTGCACCTTGGTAACGTCCTGCTGATGAACCAGGCACTGAGCCAGCCTCTCCCGAGCCCCAAGAGTGACAGGAGCAGTCCATCCACCCGAGGAGGGGTCGTGGGGACCCTGCTTTATAGCCAGCCGGGTGGGGTCAGAATCCCGGGTGAGGCGGCCTGGGCTTGCAGTGGCATCTGAGGTGCTGTGGGCGGCGCTGTCTGCAGGCAGGTGGTGTCCCCTCCTGGGCCGGGCCCGGGAACACTTAGGACAACACAGTCTTGTGACACGGTGCTCCAAGTGTCCAGGGGACAAAGGGAAATCACCTGCCACATGAAAATGCAGGCAAACCTTGACCTGGTGGAGGACAGACAAACAGCATATGGCAAAACCAAGATGCTGTGGCTGGCAAAATATTTGGCAAAGGCTTTCAAACAGCCAGCGTAAAAATGCTTCTATAAGCCACTGAGAACAGGCTTGGCACAAATGAAAAAGCAGCAAGTCTCAGCAAAGAAATAGAAGACTTAAGAAAATACCACATGGAAATCTTAGAACTGAGAAATACAGTGACTGATGTATAAAACTGTCTGGATGGGGAAAATCTCAACTTGCTGGAGACAGAGGGGAAAAAAACAGGGGAATTAAAGAGTAAACAATGGAAATGACTCAGCAACACAGAATAAATATTGAGTGTGGATGCGTGGGAAGAATAATCAGGAATAAATTTAACCAAGAACATGAATGACTTGTGCCCTGAAAACTACAGAGCACTGATAAAAGACATGAGGACTCAAGTAAACAGAAGGACATCCCATGTTCATGGATTGGAAGACAATATTGTTAGAATATGTGTATTACCCAAAGCAATCTACAGATTTGATGCAGTACCCACCAAAATAAGTTATTTTTTTAAAAAAGGGAAAAAACCAATTGACCATAAAAGCCAAAGCAATCTTTAGAAAGAACAAAGTTAGAGTCCTGATTTCAAACTACACTGCCTAAAAGCAGACACAGAAACACATGGAGCAGCATGCGGCAGCCCAGACCAGCTGCAGGCTTCTCCCATCTCGGCTCTCCTCAAAACGAGTAGCTTTTCAAGTCACTTGGTGGATGGGCGAGCGGTGTGAAGAGTATCTGCCTCCCAGCCAGGCATACTGGCACGCATCTGTAGTCCTAGCAGTCTGGAAGGCTGAGGCAGGAGGGTCACAAATTTCAGCCTGGGCAACTTAGTGAGACCCTGTCTCAAAATAAAAAATAAAAGAAGGGCTGGGATGTAGCTTAAAGATCCTGAGTTCAATACACACACACACACACACACACACACTCACTCACTCATGAGTGTGTTGTCTCTAAAGCTCACACTGAGCCTCTTTCTGAGTTGTAAAGGGTATCACCGTGGTGGGGCATCTGACTGTGGCCCACAACACTGGAGCCCCAGAAATTCAGCACGTGGGGAGCCCCTGTATTTCCAAGCCACAGATGTGGGAATGGTGCAGGGAGGCCCTGGCAGTTGCTCCCTCTCCACCGCCAGGTCAGTCAGCCTAAAGACACCCACATGGTGGACCAGGGTGACACCTTTGGGATGGGAGAGGCAATTGAGAGCCCTAGAAAACGGACTGGCACAGGGCTGGAGAGCTCACGCGCTCCTGGGCAGGATGGGGAAGGGGACTGCTGGTCTCGACAGCTGAAGGCAAAGGGCCTCTGGTGGGCCTCATGGACCACAGTGGAGAAGCTGCATCTGGCAGACCAGTGGCTGCACCTCAGGTGCTGCTTCTGCATCGAAATCTCTCTGGAGCAAGGACACCGGGGTTAGCCCTGGTAAAGCTTGAGGTAACCCAGGCCACTCTCTGTGACCCATCCATCTTCTGCACAGTCCGACAGGCGAGTCGACGGGACAGATGGGACTCACTGTCTGCAGTGCCACCCGCACTGACATGTGCTTCTGCTCCCCATGCTCCTAGAGGCAGTCCTAGGGCTTCTGCTGGGCCTTCCTCCCATAGTGCCTCCCTCCACAGGTCAGGGACTCAGCTCCTGAGTAGCCTCTTCTCAGAGTGGCCTCCAGACTGGGGACAGAACCCCAGCGTGGGCTTGGGGAACCCACTGTGAGACAGACCTGAGCTAAAAACCATTCATCCCTTAGCCCACAGCCCACCTAGTAAGCCAGGGTCACTGTGGGTCTCCTGGAATCAGCTGGTCCAGAGCCAGCATCCATTAATCCCTCAAGTAAGTAGCAGTCACCCTGTAAGACCACAGTCCCTTCGGGGGAAGACTGGGAAGGTCATGGGTGTGAACCAGGATGTGCAATGTGGGACAGGAACCAGCTGGACTCCAGGAGTCTGGCTGAGGTACGCTGACTGCACTCTTACCTAGAGGCCCCCATCACCTCAGGGCTCTCCGTTCTCTGCCGTCTCACACTTCACTGTTCCTCTGTGATGAGAACACTTGAAACCCCTTCCTCTGGCTGTCCTGAGCATGTGATGCAGCACTGATGCCCAGTCACCGCCCACCCGTGTGCTGCAGCAGCAGCCTGGCCTGCACTCCTGGCTGGCCTGGCTGCCTGCTACCCAACTCCCTCCCCCGGCCCTGCTCTTCCAGCTGGCCTCGGAGCCCCGCTCATCCCTGGGCTCAGCTGCTCTGGATTCCAGGTTTGAGTGATATCACGCGGCCTCGTACTTCACCCATGTTCTCCAGGGCCCCACATGTGCAGACAGCAAGCTTCAGCCCTCTCTGGCTGAATCGTCGTCTGCATGCTCACCACCTTCTCTACCTGCTCATGTGACACAGGCTCAGCCGCTAGTTGCAGGGGCCACCCTGGCCCACCTCTGGTTGCAATGCACTGCCACCCAGTCCTGGCCCGGCTCCTGCTGTCTGTCCAGCCTGCTGCACCCCTCTCTTGCTGTGGTGAAGGACTGTCCTGGGACCCTCGAGGAGCACGAACAGGTCTCCTTGGAGGAACTGTGCTGCCATCCAGTCCCCTAGGCCTCTGGTTTCCCTCCCAACTTTACCCAGCATGGGCCCCTCCTGGTCCAAGCTCTTCCTGAGCCCTTCCTGAGCACAGCACTGATGCCAGCTCTAGAATCTCTGCTCTCTGGGCCACCACAGTAACCAAGTCACGTGGCCAAGCCAGCTCCATGTGCTGTCACCATGACTCCTCAGCCTCGGTGTCCATTCCTGGGCATTCTCCAGATCCTGCCTGCGTGCAGTGGAAGAGCATGCACCCCTACGCACTCAAGTCTGGTTACACATCCAGAGGCAGAGGGTGGGGCAGGACTTGCCAGGGTCCTGGCATCTTGCAGGCAGCAGCCCTATGCCAGGCCCAGGTTCCCTGGCAGAGCAGGGCTGCTCTCATGCAGGGCAAGGGCTGCTTCCAGTGGCAAAGGAGACTGAGCAAACTCCAGGAGCCCAGTCTCCAGCTCTTACAGGACCTCCCCATGTGTCTGTGTGGCCACTGCTTTTTGGTCCTGCCCTCAGGATGACGGCAGATGCACACAAGCTGGATCCAGATGTACACTCAGCAACTGCAGGAGACTCTAGACGCAGTGCTCAAATGCACAGGCCTGCAGGAATGAGAGCCACGGGTTTCCCATAGGTGGGCGATGGGGAGAGTTCCAGGTCCTGTGTATGCTCCCCTGTGTCAACCTTCCCTGTCCTCACACTGTTCACTAGGTTGACAAATGTGCAGGGTCCCCGGAGGAGTCCTGTGTACCACGGCCAGCAGTGAGACTGGAGTTAACCACACTGCAGCCGCCTCTGCAGCACAGCACATACAGCTCTCAGCAGAGAACCTCTCAGAAACCCGTCCTGCAGCTCAGCACCGGAGCCTGTGTCAGTCATGTTCTCTGGGGACACAGAACTGGTGAGGGACAATGTGAGTGTGTGTGTTTGTGCGTGTGTGTGAACAAACATGTGTTTGTGTAGGCAGAGAGAGAAACGGGGGAGAGAGGGAATGAAAAAGGAAGGGAGTTGGGGATGGGCAGGAGGGAAGGAGAAGAGCAGGGAAAGGTGGAAGGCGGGGAGAAATAAGGAAAAGAAGAGAAAAAAGAAAAATGGCGGGGAATTGGGGACGGAGAAAAGGAGAAAGGGAGAGGGAGGAATAGGGAGAGAGAAACCGGTCTAAGGAACTGGCACGAGTGATCTGTGAAGCTGACATACAAAGCTAACCGAAGCAAGCTGGCCTATTAATAGAACTACTAACAAAACTGGACAGGAGAAACATCACCCTTTATCTTCACTGATTTCTAGGTAGAATTCAGGCTTTCCTTGGCTCTGCCGGTAAGCAGCCACGTCAGAAGCGCCTGTGCGGCCCTCTGAAGGGTCACAGCGCCCTCCCACGGCCATCCCGGCGAAGCTGCAGACGGCCGGGCGCTGCGCCCAGCCAGCTGCGTCCTCCTTCACACCTGGCCCACAGGAAGAAGTCCGCAGGGCGCCACCCTGCCAGCTTCCTCCCGGCCAATCTCTGAGCAGCTCTCCACGGGCCTGCTCCCTCATCTCCTCGGTGTCTCTCACACAAGGCAAGAGCAGAGGTATGGGGCGAGCTGCTGCGGCTCTGTGCTTCGAGCTGAGATGAGAAGACCTGCAGGCCCAGAGAGCAGCTGTGCAACTGAGTGCCGCATGCTGAAATCTGCCGGGACGTGGGTCATACGTGTTTTCAACACCAGGAAAACGAAGTCTCGGTCCCCGGGTCAACTTCTTTGCTGACCTGCCTGCCAAAGCCGAGTGTGGGGCTGCGTCTGCTTACACGGGCGACCCCGTCCGTGCTGACAAAAGCCACCCTGCAGTCCTGTGCGCGCTGCGCCTGCTGCCATTGGCAGGGCTGTGTGGCAGAGGGACAGATGTGCCCAGATCGGAGCACAGGCACAGCTGTGCAGCCCGCCAGGCTCTGCAACACTGACGGGTCCCACAGAAACGACAAAACGCAAGAGGCCAGGTCTTGGGCCCCACGCCTGGGCATTCACTGTCCCATTCACAGCCCGGGACAGGGTGCCGATGAGGAGTCCAGAGCTGAGCCAGGCTCCCCATGGGGAGGACCAAACGCAGTATGAAAGCCAGGAAGACAGCAGGGCAGACGCTGGGGTGACCTCTCCAAAGCAGGGGGTCCCCAGGGAGTGACCATCATCAGAAGGGCTCCACAGAGACCTGAGAGCAGGGTCAGCATGGCAGCCCCCACTGGGACCGCAGGACAAAGCGAAAGAAATTTGCAGTAAATATAAAAGCACAAAGCAAAGAAGAGGGAATATGTAGGAAAACCAGTAAGGGATGGCAGACGTACAAAAAGGGAGTTCTACACAGACCGTGGTGCAAAGTGTGGTGGGAAGCTGGGTCTAGTGGCACACGCCTGAAATCCCAGCACTCGGGGGGCTGAGGCGGGAGGATCACTGGGAGTTCGAGGCCAGCCTGGGCTACACAGTGAGATCCTGTCTCAGAAAACCAAAGAAAATTTAAAAAGTAAAAATAAAAGCGTGGTGGAGAAATAATATAGGACAATTCCCATTCTGAGGGACAAACCCTAAGCCCCACGAGGTCACCGTAGACACATCTGGACGCGTGTACAGGAAGCCACGACACAGCGTCACAGACCAACAGGGAGGGGCGCCTCACTCCCAGGGGCCGGTGTGCACGTCAGGACGTGACGCCTCCGCGCAGCTCGGCCCCGCCTGGCCGCAGGGATCCTCCAGCGCAGCCTGCCGGACGCAAGGCTCCTGGGGCCGCCCCGCCGGGTGCAGGCTCGCCTCAGGATGTGCCCCCTCACCCCTTTGGAGGACAGCAGGCCTCGGGGCTCCCACCTGTTGGCCACATCTAGGTCTGACTCCATCCTGTCCAGGCCCCGCATGACACTGTCCAGCTGCTCGCCCTGGTGGTGAAGGACCCTGGCGGTGACTTCCAGACGCCGCTGAGAGCTGCACATCAGCCCCGTCAGCTCCTGGCCCCTGGTCCCGGCGGAGGAGGGCACGTCCACACCAGTGCCCTGCCCGGACAGCAGCAGCTCCCTCCAAAAGTGCTCAATGATGTTGAAGACAACATCGCGGCTCGGCCGCAGGGAGCCGAACCAGTGCTTGACGTGGCCCCGCTCAAGGACGGTGACAGCCCTGAAGATGAAGTGCGAGGCTTCCTTCCTGATCGCCACAACACTGGAGAGGGGCAAGCCCATGAGGACCTCTCCAGCTCTGTCCGCCGTGAACTTCAGCGAGTGAGGCGTCAAGGACAGTTTCCCAGAGACCCATCGCTTCTCAAGGTCCAAGTAGTAGGAGCAGGGCCAGGAATGGACACAGACATCACTGCTCATCTTCCCCAGGTCTGCTGCACCACACCAAGGCCACACGTACGTCTCTGAGGGAGAAGAGGCAGGTTAGCGGGCAGGCAAGGCAGAAACCAGACCCACGATGCTTGGACTAGAGGCACAAGAAGCACAAGAAACCGACCAGGAAACCAAAGCACCCTGAAAGCTCTTCTTGGAATTGAAGGATGAAGCCCAGGTTCTTGTTTGGCAGGCAAAGGAAGAGAGGTGGCGTAGAGGGAAATTAAAGCCAAGACCCAGGTCCACACCTGTGTCCATCCCCTCGGTCACCCTAACAGAGCTTCTGCCCTCTGCCAACTGGGCACATCGTGAAGGACAGCTCCTGGGGCCAGACCAGCAGCTCATCCTCAGCCCATTCCTACAGGAAGGAGAAATAAAGTCTTTCCTAGACAAGTAGAGACAGAGAGAAGTCATCACCACCAGCCCCACCCTGTAAGAAATGTGTACGTTAGTCCTACACTGAAAATGAGGATGACCAACACCATCATGAAAACACACCAACGTACAAGGTTCGTTAGCAAAACATATACATAGAAGAAACAGAGAAAAATCAAACCTTAGCGTGACAGAAAACTTCCAAACCACAGACATGAATAATGAGAGGTGAAACAGAACAAAAACTTACAAAATAATTAAAAACAATAATGAAACAATAGGAGTAAGCTCATAGGTATCAAGAAAAACCGTGAGTGTGTATGGATTAAAACCATCAGTCAAGCTGGGCATGGTGGCACACACCTGTAGTCCCAGCACTGGGGAGGCTGAGGCAGGAGGATCACCATGAGTTCAAGGCCAGCCTGAACTACACAGTGAGACTCTGTCTCAAAAAACACCCAAAAATAAAAAATAAAATCACCATTTAAAAGAAACGGGGCCAGGGATTTAGCTCAGTGGTTTTGCCACCTGCTGCTGCGCAAGCACAAGAACCTAAGTTTGATCCCCGGTACCAAAAAAAAGAAAAAAGAAAGAAACGGACTAGCTGAATAGATAAAAACTATATGCTGCCTACAAGAAACTTGCTTCACTGGTAGAGACACATGGACTAAAACATGAATTATTGTGAAAAAAATATACCACACAAATGGAACCAAAGTGAGCAGGAATAGCTATTACTCAGATAAAGCACCCTTTAAATCAAAATTGTACAGGAGATGGGGGCATTAAAAAAAAGATGTGTTCTGTACATGTATCAACTCCATACAAGAGACATAATCATCGTGTACTGCACATATATTCTAATAGAAAGTTAAAAATAAAAAACAAATCAAAAAATAAGGAAATTAATTACACAATGATCAAAAGATCAATTCAGCAAGAAGATATAACTACGAGACCACTCAAAACCCTACAGCAAACATTACTAGATCTAAAGGGAGAAACAGACTCCAGGATAATAACAGTTGAGGACTTCAACATCCTATTTTCATCAGTGGGCTGATCATCCAGACAGAAAACCAACAAAGACACATCTGAATTAAAGCACACTAAAGCAAAGGGATCTGACAGCCACTGATAGACATTTCATTCAACAGCAGCGGATCCACTTTCTTCTCAGAACACGTGCAGCATTCTCCAGGGTAGATCACATGGCAGAGCACACACCAAGCAGCAATACAACTTTTAAAATTGAAATTATGTCATGCATCTTCTCAGACCACAAGAGAATAAAACTAGAAATTCACAAGAAGAATGGAGGAAAATATAGAACTACTTGGAAATTGAACAACACATTCCTAAATGACCAATGGGTAACCAAAGAAATTTAAAGAAAAATAAAAAAAGTTTTTGAAACAAAGAAAACTAAATACAAAACATATTAAAATCTGTGGGATACAAAAAAAGCAGTACTGAGAGGGGAGTTTATTGCAGTAAATGCATAACACCCCAAAGTAGAAAAAAGCTAGGTATGGTGGTGCATGCTTGTAATTCCAGCTACTTGGGAGCTTGAGGTAAGAGGATTATAGATTATGGGCCAATCTGAACAACTTGGGCCCTGTCTCAAAATAAAAAATGAAAGGAGTAAGCAGCATGTCGCTTAGAGGTCAAGTACCCCTGAGTTAATCTCTAAAATTGACCCAACAAATAACAAACATCAGAGCAGAAATTCATAAAGTCAAAACTAATAACACCCCCCAAATCCAGTGCAAATGATCAATGAAGCACAGAATTGGTTTATTAAAAAGGTAAAATTGGCAAACTTTTAGATGGACTAATCAAGAAAAAAGACAAGGCCAGGGATGTAGCTCAGTGGCGCCACGCCTGCCTGGCATGTGCAAGGTCCTCAGTACCAAAGAAAAGAAAAGAAAAGAAAAGAAACTATTGTAAACAAGTATATCTAACAAATTGGAAAATCTAAAAGTGGACAAATTCCTAGACACATACAACCTACTAAAAGTGAATTGAGCCAGGCACTTGGGAGGCTGAGGCAGGAGGACTGCCACAAGTTTGAGGCCAGCCTGGACTGCATAGTGAGTTCAGGGCCGGCCTGAGGTACATAGTGAGACCTTGCATCAAAAAATAAAACACACAAACAAACAAAAAAACAACAGAAGTTAAACGTGAACTGAAAAGAAACAAAATGTAAACAGACTAATAATAAGTAACAAGGCTGAAGCAATAAAGTCTCCTGTCTATGAAACATCTAGAACCCGATGGCATTTGGCTGAATTCTACAAAACATGGAGAGAAGAACTAATGCCAATTCTTCTCAAACTATGTCACGCAGCAGTCACTAGAGACTGGAGGGGCTTGGGGGAAAGTGAGAAGAAAAACTGGTCTCAGAGGACACTGCCAGGCTCTCTCCAGCAGACCGGGGTGATCACTGGCCACAGGAGTCCAGACGCACCCCACGTAATCAAAGAACCAAAACTCCCAAACAGAAGTGAGGCCCGTGAGACGGGAGCGCCCCTCTGCACACAGGTGCTGGGTTGTGGTAAACACACACACACGCCGCAGTCACACAAGTGTGCTTCCTGAGCCAAGTGCCATCGTGAGCCACTGGGTGGCACGGTGGGGCAGCTCCTCGGGTGGCATCAGATGCAGGGCGCTGCTGCCGGGAGAAAGGCAGGCTGCACGTGAGTGCAGGGTCTGTGGCTGCAGGGCCCTGTCCTGCACTCTGCCCTGACGCTGTCCAGTGCGCCTCCTCTCCTGCTTTCACTCGGCCAAATTCACTCTGCGGAGCATGTTTCTCTTCCTATCTTTACAAAACGTAAGACCTCTCTACCTTTAAAGAAAAGGAAAAAAATAAGTAGAAGGAGTGCACCTGAAGTAATGATCCACAGTGGCACGGGTGATGCATACACCAGTAACAGTCACTTGTCGGCACCATAGCGATGACGCTCATACATAACCACGCTGCTTCCATAGCAGGGGTGCTGGGGGTTTGTTCACCAGACAGGTGGTGAGGAGTGGGCTACGGCTGTGGGAGGTCCCCGAGTGACAGGAACTCTCTGGGCATTGCTCTCTGAAGGGGCCGACTGGAACTCCTCCACGTGGTGTGTGACTTAGGTCCAGAACAGACGCTGTCTTCTTCAGCTACACCCACCGGGCCGGGAGGCACTGAGGGCCTGGCCACTGCCCCGTACTGACTGGCCCCTCCCATGCCACCTCAGTTTTCTGGGGGGTTTTGTTTTGTTTTATGTTGTTGTTTTTGAGGCAGGGTCTCCCTAGGCAGTTCGGGCAGGCCTCGAACTCACTGTGACCCTCCTGCCTCAGCCTCCCGAGCCTCCTGGCCTGGGATTACAGGTGTGCACCACCTCGCCTGGCCACCACCTGAGTTTTCTGCCCAGGTGGGAAGCGCCACCAGGCCCTGGCCTGTCCCTTTCCCGCCCTGGCTGTGGGGCCCGCAGAGCCCTCACATGGACTTGCTGCACTCAGGACATGGTTCACAGCCCTTGTTTATCTGGCTGGAAGTTCTTGGGGGCTTCCAGGGTCCTAGCTCAGCCACTTCTTTGGGACAGGCCCAATGGTTCACGGTGTTTGTCCACCTGGGCCACTGGGGTAGGCTGAGGTCCGTGCTGCAGGCTTGGAGTCCCAGTAAGAGCAGCCGTCATCCAGTCCTGCAAGGGACGAGCGGAACAGACCAAGACTCGGCAGCTGGCCCTGAGGGATGTGAGGAGCCTGCTCCTGTCTTGAAGCTCTCCCTCTTAGGACCGCTAGGGCGCTGCTGCACCTGGGACGGTCACCTGGCCTTAGTTTCACCACTCAGAGTTGGCCACAGACAAGATGTGGACACAGAAACAAGCAAACAGGACAATGAAGGCCATGAGCAGAGGAGGAAAGGAAGCTTTTCTTAGCAGCTGCTCAGTACACACAAAAGACAGTGCCAGGTTAAAGTGAAAGACCACTTCAGTGTCAAATAAAAATAAACTCCACTCCCTGGTACCTCAGTCCAAGCACGTCCCCCACACTGCCAGGCCTTGTTCCAACTGCACGGCCAAGGCCTATCTGCCCAGGGCTGTGTCGGATTCACCACCACCAGCCATGCCTGAAATCACAAGGTCACAGCTCGGCCTGCGATCAGGACAAGCCCAGAAGAGAGCTGCCTACCAGGTATGAGAACGCTGTCATCATCACAAAATAAAATCAGACCTGAGACTTACGAGTAATGAGTAATAAACATGTCAGGGTTGCAGGCACCTTCGGGATAACCCCAGGTCGCAGAGGGAAACAGGGACCTCTGGGAGCCCGAGCCAGGCCTAAGAATCTGACCTTGGCCAGACCAAGGGAAAGCACCACAGTAAAAACAAACAAAATACTCGCAATCTCGTTGTGAGAGACAGCCAGGGTGTTTATAGCCTGATGTCACTGGAAAACAGGGAGATTTTCTCAGCTGTGGGAGGCACCTCGTCTTCCACACAGAAGGGAAGGTTTGCCTCTCCAAGGGAGGGCTTGCAAGGTGTGCCTGCACCCAAGTCCCTTGTCAGCACACTCCACGGGGCCACGCTGGAGTCCCCAGGGGGAGGAGAAGCCTGTCCAAAGTGAACCCCGGGAGACTGGTCCCTGATCTGGGAACCACCTGAGCCCTCCACCGCCGAGCCTCGTGGGACAGGGAGCGAGGGCTGGGGACTTGAGTGGCCGAATGCATGAGCCTCAACAGTCACGGCATCTGTGTCTCAGAATTAGGGGACGGTGCCACTTCAGCTCTGCCACGGACTGCAGTCTCAGTGGCCAGCTCATCAGCACACAAAGACCTGTGAACCCCAGAGAGCCCAGGGTTTGGGGAGCTGTGTGCTGGAAAAGGGGAGGAACCAAACCCACATTTCACAACACCAGCTGGTAGGCACAGCATGGAAGCTGACCCCAGTGACCATTCCTGAACACCCAGAACTGGGAGGGGTTCCATGACAGCAACCAGCAAACCTGCCCCTCGGATCAGAGGGCGCACACCATGGTTCCAGCTGCAGCTCCTTTGGGCCCACCACAAACTTTATGCCTGGAAAAGTTACCTCATGCTCTGCACCTCTATTTATCCTCTGGTAAAATAACTGCTCAGAAGAGCACCAGCTCTAAGATGCTCTAAAATGTAAGAGGAAAGAAAGGACTAAAAGACAAAGGAGGAGGGGGGAGCAGCCTAGCACTGTCATGACGTTGCGGATGCTTCTCGGGGGAAAGTGTCCCAGCCAGGCAAATCCTAGGGAAAGAAGAGAAGCAGAAATGCGGCCACAACTTTCCCACCACAGGTTTCCAGGGCTCCTTTCCCAGAAAACCCAAGCAAATGGACATTAAGTGGCAGGGCGGAAGCGAGGAAAAGAGCCCCGGGCATGCACAGCACCCTGTGCCCTTCCTGCTGGGCGCCCCACCTTGGCTGCCACCCTGGCCCCACACGGTGTCCTTGGCAGGGTCCCTCTCCCTCAGAGGCCCAGCTGCCTCCTGAGCTCCCATCCTGGCCTCTCTGTGGCCAGCGCTGCCCATGTCAGCTCTGCTGCAAAGGGCTTTTCGAGGGTCTGCAGCAAGTACAGTGCCTCGAGCCTCTTGGCCACGGGTCTATCACATACTCCACTCTGCCCCTGCAGAGAACACCCAGTTGTGGCAGCCTGGTGCGGCCTGCAGGCACTGCAGCTGCCCAGCCCTGCTAGGTCACCGCAGCAGTCCACAGGCTGCTCGAAGATCACCGCTTAAACACACACACACACACACACACACACACACACACACAAACGTGTGTGCGCGCGCACACAGAGCTCCCCGGCACTGCTGTCCCTCCCAGCTACTGCCCACTGACGCCCCACAGGTGCCTGTCCCCGCCACATGCTTGGCATCTCAGTGACTGGCGCCCACGTTCGCTAACGTCTGTGTGGCGCTCTGCTCCCCAACCGCAGTGAGGGCGCCCTGCGCTGAGGCTTTGGGGACGCCTCAGGCCCTGGCGGGTGGCACTGTGCCGGTGTCCTTTACTGATTCCTCCGCCTGTACCTGCCTGACTGGGCACGGCCCTGGTCCAGTGTGAAACCTTTTTTCCTAGATGAGTCAAGAGTACCATGGTGCTCAGCATCCTCAGCTTGATTCCACCCAAATGTACCAACCTCAGGAACTTTCCAGGCGCCAACTCGGACATCTGGCCGTCTGCTGGGAGCTCCACTCCATGCTGGGGAGACGTCTCTACCTCGCCCGCCCCTATCCCACGCTCCTCCTCTCGGTATGGCTCCCCTGGACCTCGCCTCTCCGACTCCCTCTTCCCCATCCTCCCAAGCAGCCCCTGAGCAAGTCCTGTCCTTCACCCGCCCCTCCCTGAGGCAGGGTGCCAAGCATCTGGACCCTGCCCTGACCACCTATGCTCTAGCCAGCCACGGGTCAGCTAGTCCCAATCATGAGCAGTTTACTCTTCTTCCCAGGAAGGGCAGGGTGCGGCTCTACACAGTGCCTGCCTAGCACGCAGATGCCTGGGTTTGATTCCCAGCAAAAGCGCAAAACATGCTTCTCACAAACTTCAGTGAAGTCCAGCTCCTTGCTGCAGCCTCGGGCTCTGAAGCCTTGTGCTCAGCCCCTTCTCCTGTCCGCTCAGGGCGCCTGGCTTGTGGTTCTCCACATCCCTAATGCTCCACCACAGCCGCAGCCCTCCCGCACTGCAGAGCACATGCACGTGCGTACACACAGCTGTGGACTAGGTCTGCACACTGCAGGGGACAGCTCCTGCACAGCACGGAAACCCACGCACACGGGCTGGGCGGCCCGTCACCCCACGTGCACTGCGGCCTGCACGCCCTCCCGTGCGGCCCAGCTCACTGGGGATGTGTGTGCTGAGCCTGGCTTCTCGCCCACCTGCTGCCAGCTGGAACCTGCCCTGCTCATGCAGGTAGGGACTCAGGGCCACATTGACCCTGCATACAGAGAACCGCCGAGGGGTCACAGCAGGGCCTCTGGGAACAAGCCCGGGGCCACACAGCCAGCACACCTGAGGCCCGAGACAGCGTCATATGTGCCTTTCAGCACTTCCATCACACATCTGCCCACAAGCGAGACTCAACAGCAAGTAAACACGCTATTTTTAGTTAATTTCCAAAGTAACTGAACCAGCAACACTTTGCACACCTTCCACACCTCAGACTCCAGGCTGCAGGGAGAACAGAGGGGCAGTGTGTACTGCGGGGGTGGCACAGGCCTTTTCCATGACCTGTCCTCTGCCTGCGAGAACCCTCTTTCCGCTCCCTCAGAGGCTCTGATCTGCCGGCTGGGCGTTCCAGCCACACTGCAGCACTTTCCCAGGGCATGTGGTGGCCCTGCAGAGACCCGGTGTGAACTGCAACCCCCTTCCTGTTGATCTCCTTGGGGGACCCCACCCAGAGGCCCAGGTTTTGTAGGCCTGGTGGGGCCGGAGGATGTGCATCACTTGCTAGTCCTGGCTGTGACAGCAGCTGCTGGCGGCACACCTGTGAGGCAGTCAATCCTCTCTCCACCGCCTCCAACAGTGCTGACACTAACACCAGAGCGCCACCATGTGGGCGAGGGAAAACACAGCACCAAATGTCAGTCAGACCGAGGGGCTCAGTGCCCTCAGTGCTCAGGGAGCACACAATCTGACGGCCCTGACCACCTCATTCCCAGGGAACATGGTCTCTCTCAGCCACAGTGCTGCAGGAATTCTCAGCAGTGCCCATCTGAACTTCATTCTGTGTAGGAAAACAAACTGGCCGTTTCTCCTCTATGCTCACATCACAAGCTGCATAGAAGACTTCTGTGGCCCCTGAAAGTGGAAGGATTTCCCTCTACCAGCAAGCAAGCAATTCAGCAGCGTGCATCAGCTGGAGTCATCAAGTGCAACTCAGCTCCAACGCCGCTGCCTGCAGACAGCACCAGCCCCACAGAACAGCAGAGGTGTCTGAGATTTGTGTGTGCATGTGCGTGTGGAAAACACAAACACAAACTCAGTTTCTCTTGTATGCTCACAACATGCTTCTGACACCAGGCATACGAGAGTTTTCCAGTAAGCGAGCAATCATGCAGAGAATGTCTGCTGGGTCCTCCAGTCCAACTAAACACCTCACAGGTGCCCCACCTCAGATGCCACCGCAAGCCCAGGCCGCCTCACCTGGGATTCTGACCCCACCCGGCTGGCTATAAAGCAGGGTCCCCACGACCCCTCCTCGGGGTGGACGGACTGCTCCTGTCACTCTCCGGGCTCGGGAGAGGCTGGCTCAGTGCCTGGTTCATCAGCAGGATGTTACCAAGGTGCAGAGGAGGAGAGCACAGGCCAGGTGCAGGGAGCCTGGGCTTCCTGTCCTCCCTGGGCCTGCCCTCCCCGTGCCCAGATCCCAGGAAGCCCTCTGAGCCCTGGCCTTGGGGCGGGACTGACTACTGGGCCCTGGAGAGCAGCTGGACCTCAGCCCCTCTGCCCTTGGGGAGGCCCGACCCTGGGATCCTGCCTTGGTCTTCCAGTGTCAGCCCCGAGGTGAAGCCGCCCAGGGCTGCTGGCCAGTGGCCGGCTCATCAGCACACAAAGACCTGTGAACAACAGAGGGCCCAGGGTTTGGGGAGTTGTTTGTCAGGATAAGGAGAAAGACCCAATAGATATTTGACATGACACCATGCCTATGTAGGAAGGAAGGGAGAGAGACTGGGGAGATAAGGGGAGGAGGGAGGGGAGGTAGAATAAGTAAATACGCATGCCTGGGAGAACAAGCTCTGTTCCAGACAGTTTTCAAATGCTGTCTGTGGGGGGACTGTGGATGAGTCCACCTCAGCTCTCTGTACACTCCCACTTCCTACCATGCCTACCTCACAACAAAGAACTGCACTCTGCAACCCCAAGAGTCACAGTGAGGCCCACAGGACGAGGGCACCGGCATGTGGCCATCACACAACCCCCAACCAGCACTCTCCTCTTGTCCCTGTCCCTGCCCCTCCTCATGCCACACCCCACCGTACTTGGACCTCAGACTCTCCTGGGACTTCCTATCCTCCTCATTCCCCCTTTTCTGATCTACCCTGTTCCTGTAACAAGGACTCAGGGGCTGGGCCTACAGATGCCCAGTGGGTACATGAATATAGGGTGAAGGGTGCCATCTGCCTTCAGTGTATACCTGTCTCCTTTTGTGTCAGAGTTTGTGCCAGATCTGTGCTCAGCTCTCCCCACAGGTACGTTAAGCACTTAAGGAGCGTCTGTCTAAAAACTAGTAATCCAAGGGTTATTAGTCCTAATGTACCTAGTCTATCTGGTCCTCCTTCAAGACTAAGAAAGCCAGGCATGGTGGTGTAGGCCTGTAATCCCAGCACTTGGAAAGCTGAGGTAGGAGGATCAGAGCAAGTCTGAGGTCAGCCTGTGAGAACCTGTCTCAAACAAAACAAAACAAGATTGAAAACATCAAGACAAGAGCACCTAAAGTAATTCTGGACTTGCAGGGACATCCCATTGCCAGTTTTTGCAACGTCCAGTCCAGAGGCCCTGGAGTGAGTTTCACAGTCTTAAGCCTACATCCACATGAGACTTCAGGAGAAGCAGAGCGTTGCAGACCATCCCACGATGAGGAGACCCTCCAAATCCCCAATCAGAAGCAATTACGCCATGACAGGAACTGAGTCTGACCCCCAAGCAAGAGTCCTGAGCTCGCGATGGGTCTCCCAGAACCTCACAGAACCAGTTCAGAGATTACCAAGAACGGATCGCGACGACCTATGCTTCAAGCTACATGGTCCAACCCTTGCTTTTTTTCTGTAGAACCCAAAGTTTCCCTCAGCCTCTGGAGGTAGATCTCGAGCTTCTCGGTGCTCCGAGCGTGGCCACACGGATGAGGGCTCTTCCCTGGTGTTTGGGGATCGGGGCACGGGCCTTTCGCGCCGCGCCAACACTGCGGGTCATTCTTTCTGGGTAAAGCCCACACTCCTCAGAAAGGGCCCCCAGACTAACCGCCCCGACGCCCGGAGGCCCAGCATCCTCCCAACCCTGGCCGCGCCGACCCCCGGACCGGCCTGTCCCCCGGGACCCCGTCGGCTCCTTGCACCCGCTGTCCCTTGGTTCTGGGAAGGCGAAGGTTCGCGCCCATCACCGCGTCAACTCTGGCGGGCGGGTTCTCTCGAGGAAGAGCGCGAGAGGCCAGCGCCGCCACTCACCTGGGGCCGGAGGCGCGGGATCGCAGCCACCTGACAGCCCGCGCCCGCGTCGCCGTCGCTCCAGCACCTGCGCCTGCGCGGAGACCGGAAGTGCGCGGGGCGCATGCGTGAGGCTCTGGTGCGCCGAGGCTGGAGTTTTGGCCGGAAAGCGAAGCCCTAGCGTTTCTGGTTCTGGGCTGCGACCCATCCATCTCCCCGCGGGACCCGTGAGGGTGATTGCTTCGCCCGCTTCTCGCCCGGAAGAGAGCGGCCTGGGCCCGCCGATGGACCGGGAGACGCGCGCCACGGCCGAGCAACACTTCCAGGCCGCGGGGGCCGGAATCCGGGGCGGTGGTCTGGCGCCGGTAGGCGTCGCCTTCATCCGGGAGCCCTGCGCCTTCTCTTACGCCGACTTCGTAACGGGCTTCCTGCTGCCCAACCTGCCCTGCGTGTTCTCCAGCGCCTTCACCGCGTCCTGGGGCTGCCGGCGGCGCTGGGTGACGCCCGCGGGCAAGCCGGACTTTGAGTATTTGCTGCGCAAGTATGGTGAGGACGGCAGGGCCAGAAGGGAAGGGCAGCGGGGCCGCGGAGGACCAGTGCCCCGGGACAGCAGGGATGCGGAGAGTCGGTCCCTGGGACGGTGGGGACAAGGACACCAGCGCCGAGGACAGCAAGAACAGTCAGTACCCTGAGACAGTGGGGGCGCGGAGGGCTAGTGGCCAGGGATAGCTAGGGACGCAGATGGTTTGTAGGAAAGCAAGGGACAGAGGGTTAGAGGACATCAGTACTCCTGGAGCAGCCGGGAACACAGAGGGCTCAGTACCCTCAGGACAGGAGGGCTGGGATCAGCTCCAAATTTGAGGGCAGCCAGGAGGGGACCTCCTGGAGACCCCAGGGACAATCCAGAGCCATGGATTGTGGACAGCGCTCATGAAGCATAGGAGGAAGGCGTGTCCAGCCTGGTGGGAAGTTCACTGTGACTGGTTGGGGGAGGACTACATAGAGGACTCAGCCATGTCTGTGTTGTCCCCCTGGCTGCAGGAGACGTAGTGGTACCTGTGGCCAACTGTGGGATCCAGGAATACAACTCGAATCCCAAGGAGCACATGCCCCTGCAGGACTACATCGCCTACTGGCAGGAGTATATCCAGCGTGGTGGCTCCTCCCCACGGGGCTGCCTCTACCTCAAGGACTGGCACCTGTGCAGGTGAGGCCCTGCCTAGAGCTGTGAGCCTGGCTCTGGAAAGGTGTGGGTGGGCAGAGGTGCTCCAGTCTATGCTGTAGTGTGGCAGAGTGCCTCATCCAGAAGGTCGGCCCTCACTGTGCTGCCCAAGGGGCCTGGGCCACATGTGTGCAGAGGTGGCTATGGGCTTGGCCCTGCTCTGTCTGGCATTTGGCCAGCGTCCTCTTGCAGCCCTGTTTCCTGGCTCTTCCCTGCCCCTCTGGCAAGCTGGGCTGTCCTCACTTACCTGGGCTGCACTGCATCCTCCCAGTGCCCCCTGCTCCTGCGGGGTGCTCTGTCAAGCACGTAGGCTGTGTAGCATGGCTGAGTTCTTGCCCAGCTTGGAAGTCTAAGAAGGTGCTCGATGCCTCCTCACCCACCCCACCTCCATGTAGCCTGCTGACTTGGAGTGGCTCGACTCGGGAGTTCCTGACTGTGATGATGCCCAGGTGCTGTCCGTTCAGTAGAAACTGCAGACTGAATATTACTCCTCTTCTCGGGCTAGCAGTGTGCGGCCCAGTTCTCTCATGATGCTGAGCAGTGGTCATGAGCCACGGTTCCCAGTCAGCTACGCCACGCCAACAGGAAGTGGCTGTCACTGTGCAGCGTGCTGTCTTGCTGAATCACAGTGGTTGGCCAATCTGATGGACTGCTTTTTCTTTTGGTGCTGGAAGTCGAACCTAGGACCTTACTCGTGCAAAGCACACACTATTCTAATGCTTTTTTAATTTAAGTGTTCTCAACACATATGCGGCAGGTTGGAAGCGCATGCTAACCTCGGGGATATCTGTACTTCCTGTCAGGAGCTTTGTCAAGATGCCCCTTGTAGCAAGTTTGTCCACCCTACTCCCAGGGGGCCCGGGATTGCTTCACCACACCTTGAGTGCCTTTCATGAGTGCAGACCCCCAGCAATGCACAGCGTGGAGGGGCTCAGGTAACAAGTGAACCAGGAATCAGTCCAGTGCTTGCATCATTTGTGCACAGAGGACATAGGCAGGACCCAGAACTCGGGCCCCTCTGATTCCCACAGCCAACCTGGGGTCATGAGCTGCCCCCGCTCCTGGCTTATCCCTCGAACAGCTGCTTGCTGGGCACAGAGCTGGCCCAGCCCAGGCAGCCAGCAGCAGGGACCAGCAGACCCAGATGCCGATGTGCGCTGTGCTTTGGGGGTTTAGGTGAACAGTGAGTGTGGTTTTGTTTCTTGGGATGAGTATTTCCCAGACATTGCATGGAGGATAATTATGTTACAAAACTGCTTGTTGTGTGAAACTCAGTTTTTGACTGTGTCCTGCATCTTACTAGACAGCCCTGAAAGCACAAGGGCAGAGGAGGGCGTGGAGACCACAGGGAAGGGTTCTAACGGGGGGTTGCTCAGAGTGGCACAGCAGGCAGGGGCCCTGCAGTGTCTTGGGAGCTGTGAGTGGCTTGTTGCTGTGAGGGCTCCGCTCCATCTTCATCTCTGACGAGGCATCAGTGTGCGTGAATCCAGGTGATGGAGTTGTGCCAGGGGTTCGTCTGTCTGGGAGCCTGTTGATGGGTCCAGAGGGGCACAGGCACCCCTCACCCTGCCCTCCAGCATCGAGCCCGCTAGGCAGAGGTAAGTTCATCAGGGAAGGAGGCCCACAGTGCGGGGGCTGGCGTGATGGCTGTGGTGGTGCCGTGTCACCGGCAGGTGGACCTCTGAGGTTGGGGTCCGTGGCCCCACCTCCGTGGTGGGTTACGTGGGGTCCAGGCCACCGTAAAGATGTCTTCTTGCTTCAGACTCTGGTCTCAGTGATTTGAGGGGGTTTGGCACAGGTCCCTAGGGTGCCAGGCAGCTCCACTGGGGCTCACCCCATCACGCCCTTGGGTGGTGTGCAGTGGCGTGTGCTGCAGCCGTGCGCTCCACAGGGGCTCCCCTGCAGAGGACCTGGAGGACGTGTTCACCCTGCCCGCGTACTTCTCCTCCGACTGGCTGAATGAGTTCTCGGATGCCTTGGGTGTGGACGATTACCGCTTCGTTTACGCAGGGCCCAGGGGCACCTGGTAGGTGAGGGCTGCGGTGGGAGGCCTCCCGGCCAGGAGCAAGGTTGTGTTCTGGGCTCCTGCAGGGTGCAAACCGGAAGCTCTCACACAGGTCCCCGTTCCACGCCGACATCTTCCGCTCCTACAGCTGGTCGGTCAACATCTGCGGGAGGAAGAAGTGGCTGCTGTTTCCCCCGGGGCAGGAGGAGGCCCTGCGGGACAACCACGGCACCCTGCCCTATGACGTGACCTCCTCCACGCTCATGGACACCCACCTGCACCCCACACACCTGCCAAGCAGCCCAGCGCTGGAGGTCGTGCAAGAGGCTGGGGAGATGCTATTTGTGCCCAGTGGCTGGCACCACCAAGTGCACAACCTGGTAAGGTGGGTGTGTGCGGCCCACTGTCTGCCTGCACCCTCCTGTCCTACCTGGTCCCCAAAGAAAGGGCTCAGAGTGGGGGCCCTGCACACCCTTGCCTCTCCCTGCTCCCTCCCTGCCCTGAGCCCATATGTTCGGAGATGGTCCCCACCCTGAGCCCTCATCCCCATTGGGCCGGCCCCATGGGGAGGCAGGAGTGGCCTTTCCTAGCTACGGCAGGCTGAGCCTGGCCATGTTCCCACACTGCCATGCAGGGCACAGGGCCTGGCGTGGGGGCCACAAGGAGTTGGCTCCCTGGGTGGGCAGTGCCGCAGTTGCAGGCTCGTGGGCCACCTGAGCCGTGCCCTGCAGGATGACACCATCTCCATCAACCACAACTGGGTCAACGGCTGCAACCTGGCCAACATGTGGCACTTCCTGCAGCAGGAGCTCCAGGCTGTGCAGCGAGAAGTTGGCCAGTGGAAGGACTCCATGCCCGACTGGCACCACCACTGCCAGGTGGGTGGCTTGGGGGCTGGGCGAGGGGCCATCCTGGAGACTGGGCGAACACCAGGGCCAGGCCAGACTCGGGGTGCTTTGTCCTCGTCCAGCCATGATGCTTCTGTCTCGAGACCCCAGCCCAGTCCTCGGGGCCTGGGGCTCTATCTGGGTGTGACCATGGGGCTCACTGGCCTCTCCCTTCTGGCCTAGGTCATCATGAGATCCTGTTCAGGGATCAACTTTGAAGAATTTTACCACTTCCTCAAGGTCATCGCTGAGAGAAGGCTTCTTGTCCTGGGACAGGGGGAGCAGGGGGAACTAGGGCCCAGCGCAGGCCTGGGGCTGGGCCTCCAGCAGGCTGCATTTGACATTGGCCGCCTTGCAGAGGTGCTGGCCTCTGTGGTCGAACACCCTGACTTCCAGCGGGTAGACACCAGCATGTTCTCGCCCCAGCCTTGGGAACTACTGAGGCAGCTGGAGGACGCCCTGGTAGCCACCAGGGCCCTTTAGTATCAGTGAGGGTTGGAGCGCCAGCAGGCACCAGGAGAAGACGGCTTTGCCCAGGGCCTTAAAGTAAAGGCCGTCCTGTCTGTGTGGCGGGACAGGTCCCTGGAGAGCAGAGCAGAGCAGAGTGAGGCCCCTTTCCTGGGGTCCAAGCTGGGGATCCTTGGGAAGGTCCAGTCAGGGTGGGAGCTCAGCCACTGACAAGCACCTGGGGTCATAAGATATCTGCCCCCCTGGCCTGCAGTGAGTATGATGAGCCACGCTTCCACATTCCCCTCACCTTCCCATAGCCTCCTGAGTGGCAGGGATCCAGGCTGCCTGTCCTGGCGTCCCCATGTGGCTGGGCCTGTCTCCAGGTCACAGATGCATGTGTCGCCACTGCCCTGTGCTGTGCATCTTCTAGCTCTGCCTTGGGGACCCCAGGCCCCAGCTGGAGGACTTGGGCACCTTGTGCAGGTGAAGCTGGCTTGTGAGCTGACCAGTGTTCACCCATAGCAGCAGGCACAGCATGAGCAGGTGAGGAACCCAAGTACTGGCCCAGGTGGGTGCCTGGGCTCTGGGTCCTGCTGTGTCCAGAGGCCACACACTGGTTTGTCCCGTGGCCTGGCAGGCCGTGTCTGCATGTAGCTGTTCTCATTGCACACAGTGGTGTTCTGGAAAGGCAAGCAAGCCGTTCCCAGCCCATCCACAGTGCCCCGTGGTACCCTGTGCCTCTGGTTCCTGTGTGTCACCCTGTTCTCCACACGTCTCCACCCCTCACAGCCCCATTCTTAGTGGCAGGTGCAACTGTGGGCAGAGGTGCAAGGCCCGCGTGAATCGGCCGCTTGCTTGCCCTGACCTTGGCCCCAAGGGCAGGTGAGGGCGCACAGAAGGTTGGGATGGGATGGACTCTGAGTCCCAGCTCTAGGGGACCTGGGACCCCGTTCTCCAGTGGGAGTCATGGGTCTGCCCAGTCCCTCGTGACCTGGAGCCCCTGTCACTTTGAGGGGGTCCCCTCAGAGCAGGAGGGTGACAGCCTCACAGGCCTAGACGTGCCCTGCTGTGATGTCCTGTGGGACTGCCTGGCCCCTGACTAGAGTGGAAGCCCAGGAGGGCAGGGACTTGTTCTGTCCAATGAATTACGCTGGGTACCTGGGAGGTGGCTGTGCAGCAGGTGCCTCACCAACGTGCCAGCTGGATGTGCCCCAGCCGCGTCTTCCCAGCTTCCAGAGAGGGTTGAGCGCCCCTGAAGCCCGGGTCCAGGCTGGGGTCATTGGGTTGGGATTGTAGGCCTTTGTAGGGGACAGGGGAAGGGGACGTTACCAGAACCTCTGCAGTGAGTCCTGGTCTCCTGCGAGCCACGGCAGCACACGGCGAATTACAGGAAAGGTAGAAAAATGAGGCTGAGAAGAAGCTGAGCTTTGGGTCTGATCAGTGCTGCTCTGGGCAGCAAAGACAAAGCCCCCAGCTTACCACACCTTTTATTCAGTACATCGGGAGAAACAACTGTAACAAATGACTTGCAGAGAGTTCAATAGTTCACATTGGGATAAACAAGGTGTAAGGGAAGGCTTGCAGAGAGTTCAGTACATCTCCGGCAAACAAGATGTTAATCAGTCCAAGAATAATGAGGAACTGAGCAGATGTTTGTTCTCCCAGGATGTTTGTTGTCCTGGAGAATCACAGCATCACTGGATCACTGAAGTCTCAGTTGTGACCGGAGGCCAAACTGGAGTTATTCTGTAGCTGGGCTGTAGGCAAGAGAACTAGGCTAACCAAATGATTTATCCCTAGAATTATGTAGCATTGCTCCCAACAGGCCTTCCTGCCGATGGAAGGAGGCTTTGCTCTACCCTCGGCAGCCCCACTGTGGCCAAGGCTGGAGCTTACTGGGGAGGAAGAAGGGGCTGTGGTCCGGGAAGCGGCCTTCCTCGCTCTGGTGGCCCCCTGTGGTGGTCCTCCTGGGGTCGTACCTTGAGAGGAGCCACTGAGGTTGGGAGTGCTGTGCTGCCTGCCTGAGTCTCAGCTTAGGGTGTGCTGTAGGTCCTGCACGGGCCAGGCAGAGAAAAGGAGGTGCAGGCAGTGCCAGGAAGGTGGGCGGCAGGGACTGCACCAGCCTTGCCTGTCCACCAGTGGCAGATGTCTCCTGCGCATGGTGGTGTCACTAAGGAGCTGCTGGAGCTCAGTCCCTTGAGCCACAGGTGGGATGTGTGCCCAGGAGAAGAGGGCTTTTGGTGTTAAAAGTAAAACTTGCAGCACCTTCAGGTCATTTCTAGCCAAGTAGCGGTAGCACTTCCTGTTTCAGGGCCTGTCCCAAGAGCACTGACCCAGAGACTCCTCACCAAACATTCCCAGGTAGAACAGGAAGGAGATAAAGCTCACTGAGGTCAGACATGGACCTGTGCCACAGAGTCCTGCCTCTGAGCCCCTGGCCGCGGAGGTGTCACAGCTCCCCATCTGGAAACACGTGGCTCAGTGGGCCAGCTCCACTTTCCTCTTTGACTCTAGGCTGTCAAGGGCTAGAAAAAGCCAGCACCCAAGGTCATGGTATGCAGGGCAGCAAACACCAGACACACACCCTGCACAGAGATCAGTCTAGGGTGTAAAGCTGTAGTGAATGAGCAAAGTCACGTTCACTGACTCCTAACAAATACAAATAAACCAGGCCAGGAGGCTGTGAAGGAAGGGGCCTCACACATGGCCACAGGACAGCAGCTGTCCCAGAATGCCAAGACCACTGCTTCCGCCAAGACCACCACACTTTGCAGTGGAAAATCCTGTTGTGAGGGCCTGTGCCCATGGACTGGCACTTGCCTTATTACTGATCCTTACAGCTAAGAATTACTGTTTCAAAATATGTAACCCTAATTTTGCCTTTGAAAATTTCTTGCTGCCTCCGCACCCTTGGAGGCTGTCTTTGTAACTTTCCTTTTCACACAGACATAATACTCAACAACCACAACTTTAAAAAGAGGCTTATTTTAGAGGATTTGTTCCAGGGCCAGCTGGCTCCACGGGAGGAAGGGACCGTGGAAGGGTCTGGTGAAGGGAAGCTACTTCGTGGCAGCCAGAAAGCAGGGAGGACCAAGGAGGGAAGTAAACCCTTGCAGGTCACCTCCTGAGTTACCCACCTCTTAACAGTAAGTAAGTATGGCAGTCCTGTGGTCAAGTCACCTTCCCAAAACTCCTCCTCTGAACCCAGGCATTTGGAGAACATTCTCAGGCTAAACCATCACGTTCTGCCCCGACCCCCAGGAGTCAAGTCTATCTCATTGTGCAAAATGCATTTAGTCCATCTCAGAGTCAGTCACCAGAGTGTTAACAGTTTCAGCATTGTTGAAAAGTCAAGTCCGAATGTCCTCCAGGCAGGAGTGGATGGTGGACGGGTGTGGTAAGGAAAACCACACATCGTGGTGGCCAGGGAGGAGAGAAACTCAGGCCATGGCCTTGTGACCACCTCCGGCCGGCCCACCCCTAGAGCAAGTCAGCTGCAGTACCCTATGATCCGGTCACTTCCCAGAAGCCCCACGTCTGAACAGTCGAGACATTTGGGGATGTGCTAGGCCTGAACCCTAACAAACACACCCTTAGTCTACAGTGGTGCACTTCTCCTTGTTACGACTGACACTGCTGTTCTCGAGTAAGGACCCTCAAGTTACGACCAGAGTCTCAGATGCAGATTTAACCCTTAAAGAGTTCAGTTATGGAAGGAACATTGCAACACCCTTTCCTGTGGGGTTCATTGAGAAATCCTGGGCCAGGGTCTAAGGACAAGGTCTACCTGTGCACAGGAGAGAGACTGAAGGCTGTGTAGAAGAAGGAGCCTGAGCCTTCCGTTGTCCAACTTGAGTTACAACCAGCCCTCGGGAACGAATTGAGTTTGTAAGTCAAGGGTCCACTGTATCATTCTTGGAGAATTTTGTTCTGGTTGGTATTCAACCAACCAGCTAGTTAAATATGTTGATAATTAAATATGATGCTCTCAACTGAATCATCCCACCCTGTGAGTCTTCAGGCAGGGGACGGGATGTCCAAACACTTGCAAGTATTCCTGAGAGGAATCATATTTTGGTCCCTGAGTCAGGAAAAGCTGAACTGCCAAGGTAACTCGTCTCCCTCCTGCAGTTCAGTGCCCCTGGGTTCTCCCAGCCCTGCCCTGGAAGGGAAGGTGTCCTGCAGAGGGCGGGGTGCAGAGACACAGATGAGCCCCGCCCTCTCGGAGTCTTGTAAGTAGAAGATCGCGTCATCTGCAAATAATGATCATTTGACTTCTTCCTTTCTTATGTGTACCCCTTTATTTCTATTTCCTGAATGCTCTGGCTAATGTTTTGAGGACTGTGTTGAACAGGAGCAGTGATAGTGGACATCTCAGACAAAATGGATTTTAGAATACAAAAAATAATCCGAGGCAGTGACATTTTATCATAGAGTCAATCCAGCTGTAAACAGAACCAGTACAAATACACATGCACCTACATAATAGAATATCCCTGAAGTGTGTGAAGAAAAGTTTGAGTTCTCTAATGTTCTGCATGTTAATCCTGTAGGAAATGTAACTAGAAAAGGTTTTTTCCCACTATGTAGGCTATCTTTTCACATCGTTACCTGTTTCCTGTGTTGTGCTGAAGCTTTCTAACTTGATGTGATTCCATTTGTTGATTATTGCTATTATTTCTTGTGTCATTGGGGCTCTAGTCACAAGTCTTCCTGTGCTTGATTTCAATTGTTTGCCGTTTTCTTGTAGTGATAACAAAGTTTTAGGTCTTGTATCTGGTTCTTCGATCTTTTGAATTGATTTTTAAAATTTGTGTTAGTGTGTTTGCAGTACATAATAATTACATTCAGCGTGGGAAGTTGGTATATATAACACATCTTATTTCTTCCCTCACCCCTCCATGTCTTGGTTCTCTTCCCTTTTGCAAAATTGAATTGATTATTTTTTTAGACAGAGTCTCTATGTGGTTCAGGCTGGCCTTGAACTCACTATGTAGCCCAGGCTGGCCTCAAACGTGTGGCGATCATCCTGCTTCAGCCTCCCGACAGCTGGAATTACAGGTGTGAATCACAATACCTGGCAAAATTGAATTGATTTTTGTACAGAGTGAGACGTAGGATTCTACTTTAGTCTTCTACTTACAGAAATGAGATTTTCCCAGCACTATTTGTTAAAGAGCCTGCCTTCTGTCCAACATACGGGTTTGTTTCTGCACTCTGTTCCATTCCATTGGTCTACATGTCTACTTCTCACCAGCATGATGCTATTTTTGTTGCTAGGACTGTGAAGTATGTTTTGAGGCTGAGTACTATGAAACTCCAGCATTGTTCATTTTGCTCAGTATTGTTTGGCTATTACAGATCTTGGGTGCTTTTAAATAAATTTTAGGATTTTTTTTACCTAGTTCTGTGAAGAATGTCATTGGTATTTTGATGGAGATTGCACTGAATCTGTATTTTTTTTCCTTTTTTTGTTGTTTTTTTGTTTATTTTTGAGATAGGCTCTAGACATGTAGCCCAGGCTGGATTCACGAACTTGGAGCAATCCTCCTGCCTCAACCTCCCAAGTGCTAAGACTACAGGCGTGTGCCACCTTGCCCGCCTAAATTACCTATTTTAAACAAACAAACTTGGTCTGTCACCAGGCTGGGTGTGAGGGTCCCTGAGGCTGAAATGAGGATCTTAACTCATCTTTTCAAAATAGGTTTGCAGGTTCGCTAACTCCCATCGCAGAAATAGAATTTGCAGTACCGGTCAGTAAAAGACATGAAAAGATTTATTGGAGATAAGTCAGGGTGCGTGTGGGAGCTCAGAGAAATGAGACGAGATATGGTTGGGAACTGGTGATGCTTTGTGTGGTGGGTGGGAGTGTGGAATTCAATAGTCTGAGCCCTGTCTGGTGGGTGGGAGAGGAGAGCGCACTGCAGTGAGGTAATGGTCTATTCACATGGGAAACTCCAAAAGGGTGGTCCGTTTATGGGTGAAAGAGGACCAACTCCCAAGTAAAAAGGGAATGGGAAAACCGGTTTGTAGGTGAAAGGGAGTTGCCCAGGTTTGCTCTTTTGGGAGAAGAAAAATAACTGGGCTTGTGTCGTGAAGCTACAGTTTTTTCTTTAAATGTACAACTTTAAAATCTCGATTTCCTTGACTCTTTTGTATCTAGTTTTATTTCTTCGATCCTACCTCAGCCTATCACCTGTAAAATGGGTCAGTGCCTTTGGCGGGGGGTGGAGGGTCCACCTTTTCCGGGGATTCTACCCAAGGGAAGCGTAAGAGATGGATGGACCCCTTCCAGGAAACACCCCGCCCCCGTCCTGCGCTCTATTTCTTTGAGTCTGCATTTTTTAATTTCTGCCTTTTAACTATGGTGCCTCTTATGGACGAGTTCTCAAGTTTTTTCTTCCACTCGGGCTCCAGCCCCCTGCATGACACAAGGCACAGGTGCCAGGG